AATAAGATCGACATAACCATGAGAGGGATTAGAAAAGAGAGGAGAGAACGTGGATGGATGTGTCTAAACGGTGACAGAATTGAAACGCAAAAAACAGACATCACAGTTCATCAATTGCGTTCTTTTGGTCTAACCTCATCTGAAGAATGGAATTCACCTGTGAAAATCTATTATAAAATAAATAAATAAATAAATATTTATCTTTTATCTGTATATTTATTTTGTTGATAAATGTTTTAAAGGTTAGTTCTTTTAGTTATTTGACAGTAGTAATTCTTTTTCACATGTTTTTACATAGTTATTTTTTTTTGTCATTTGTTTAAATTTTCATATTTTTTGAGTTGTTGAAATTAGTTTTATCTTTTATTAAAATAGTTTAATTTATTATTATTTTATGATGACGACGTAATATATTCCACACATTAAATGTTAAAACTTTTCTTTCACTTTTTATAATTTTTTATTTTATTTTATTTTTAATAAATTATCATGTTCTTATTGCTAAACACATTGTAAGTCATTACTTACACTTAAACCACCATTAGAAACTCCAAACAAACCAAATCATCACTAAAAAAATCACAAATCATAACTATCATTCTCCAAACCAAAAAAAAAATTAGAATCTCAAATCAAAACATTAGTCCCAAATCACCCAAAATCAAAATCTATAGAGAAGAATTAAGAATAGAAACTCCAACTAACAAAAACTTAAATCAAAACTCTAATCTCAAATTGTGAAATCTAAAGCTATTGAAAAGAATAATGAACAAAACTCTAAATAACAGACCCCAAAAATTTTGCACAATTTACAAGGCAACTATTGCCGCTGGTTGCACTTAAGGACACCTCAAAACAACACTTATATAAGTCTAACAAAGTAGAAAAGTAAAAAAAAATTGATAATATTCTTACAACAATCTAGCCAGTAACTTGTGATTGATGCGTTTTAAAATACAAAACTAATAAAATAATAATATTAGTCGTTAAAAAATTGTTAAAAGAAATTGTTAAAATATTATTGTCCATTAGAAAACATTAGAAACTGTCTGTGAAACACATGCCTCCAAATCTCGTCCAGCCGCAACAATTTGACTGCATAACCCACTAAAACAGCACAACGTACTTCCTCCCAACTGCTTGGAAGTCACCCAACGCTAGTGGCCAAGAAGAAGCACGTAACACAGGCACTAGGTGCAGCAATCTAGCTGAAAGAAAAATGTACCAGGGAGTGCCGGGCGCCGTACAAAGGACGCCCGAAGTGCCGGGCGCCGTACAAAGAACGCCCGAAGTGCCGGGCGCCGTACGAAGGACGCCCGAAGTGCCGGACGCCGTACGAAGGACGCTCCTCAGAAAGGCCGTCTGCTTAGCTCGGCGCCCATGCCACACCCGGAGGGATAAATGCTCGATCATCCAAGTAGGCACGGATTGAACCTAGACTCCGTATAAACTCTCCTACACCAGCAAGTGCCGGGCGCCACGAACAAGGCCGTCCGCCGATCTCGATGCCTACATCGCCTGAATGGGCGGAACCTCTGTTTGTAAGAAAAGCTTTGAAGAACTCACTTGGAATTCCATCACCACGGGACATCCCCGTACTCTCACAGTGTTCTACAGGAAAATGCTGAGACGAAAACGTCTGGTACCAGGAAGGGCCGGACGACCTCGTAGAGGATCGTCCGCCCAATTTAGTGCCCGAGTCATCCCTAGGTAGGGCGGACGCCCGCATCGCTATGGCGGACGCCCATATCACGATGACCGGCCAAACCACTGATCTTTGTGACCTAAGCAAATTAACCTGGTTTAGAGGTAAGTAGAAATTAGAAGCTATTGGGCTGATTGGGCCGTGATTAACTTTTCACTAATCCCAAGCCCATAGCGAAAACTATAAATACAGGTTCACGGTGAGTGGTAGGTAGGTTACATTGAATGCACATTTATTGCTACTGTTGAAAATAGCCATTGCTCTGAAACTGACTTTGGCATCGGAGAATCTTTTGTAGGTCTCCACCCCTCCGGATCAAGAGGAGAGTCAAAGCTCGAGGAGAAGATCCGCCATTGAGACAAGATCGCAGGAAAACTTGGAAGACTGGGAACAGCACAGCCCTACACATCCGAAACAAAAAAAAAGAAAAAAAAATAGAAACCAGCGTCTAACACATGCATAACAGGACCGAGTGGTTCCCAGTATAATTGACAGCCAATTATATGCCACAACAGCACTCACATTTCATCCAAACAGTTAGCTAGAACCTGTCCATTTTGAACCTTTGATTGGTGTTAAATGGACAATCACTACTGCAGAGTTCATATCTTAAAAATGCTATCCTGGTGGACCAATCTTGGCTACTTTTGGGATCTTAAACTAGGCAATAAACACTGGAAACAGCCACTGGAAGCTAATCTAATTGGTCCATAAAATGCTTCTCGGGCCATCCCTAATACTGAAACCACCNTTTAAAACACTTCTACCTATAAACATCATTGCTTGAAAATATTACTATTTTAAAAATAAACAAAATATTGAAAATCATATTTCAATTTCAAATTTCTATAAAACTAAAAAGGTTTTCCTTTTAGAAGAGAAATCCCATCTTTTACTCTACATCAATATAATATTAACAGATTAGTCAAAATCTATTTTGAGGTGAAGCTTTTTGTGTTGTGAGGGTTGCAGTAAGGGGAAACATGCATGGGATGATATGATAGAATAACATCGGTGGCGATTCCCATGCACTGTAACAATTACCCGTTTTTCCAATCAAAGGATGGGTGGGCGACTGATGTTTTAACATGTATTAAAACAATTAATATACAAAAAACTTAGCCGACTGAACTGGTACATTCTGCTGTCGCTTCATCCGCGATTATGCAAAGATTGCTTCTCCCCTTACTGCGTTGTTGTATAAAGATGCTCTTGAAAGGGGACCCAAAGTTCAAGTCTTTGATTTGCAGAATTTCACCTTACCATTGATTGTGATTGTCGAGACCGACGCTTTCGGCATGGGTTTGGGCAATGTAATGATGCAATCAAATCATCCGATTGCTTTCTAATTGCTTCACTTGTCCACTTACATTTCGTGAGCTGCACGCTATCACTTCGGTTGTTAAAAGACAGCGGCAATATGTGCTTGGTAATTCTTCACCATTGACCACCGTAGCTTGGGGAGTTAATATCTTGGGCAATTTATAACTCCCGAGCAACACGTATACTTTGCTACAAGGTCGTCAAAATCAAGATCATAGAGAATTATTATATCACACTTGAAACGCACAATTAACTTCAATTCAAAATGATAAGAAAAACACACAGAACAGGAAGCCAATAGAAGTAATAATATAATAAACACCCGCGTTCTAGTTACAAAAGAGTACAAAGCTTAGTCTTGATTGTAATGTCTAAATCATCACGAGATGTAGTTTCATCCTCCTATCCTAACCTTGAATTGAAACCATGTTTTCATCGAAATCCAAATTGCGTACACCCAAACCCAATCCTTAATTCTACGCATGTTCATCTTCTATAATGTAGTCATCATGTGACGAACAATCTTCAAGATTAATCTGAACTAGTTTTCTATAGATATATTTTAATTGATATTAACTTACCGATTTGAAGAATTGTAATTCCGCTCACATTCAAAACAGCAGTTGTGATGTCGTCCTAGGAATTGAGTAGTTAGTTACTTTGGGAGACATTACTTGAAATTTTAACAAATTGACAATAGATTTCAAGATTCATGGTAAAAAACATGTGTTGAAAGGCTCTTCTTCTACTAGGGGTGAAAACAGTTATGAAGCAACAACTTGATAAAGCTTTGGTGGAAGGTGTTCATATATCCATGCTTTAGCTTTGTGGGGATGACGGAGGTTTACTACTGTCGCTAACCACACACGCCACTCAACCAGCAGTAGCAGAGGAAGTAAAAGAACTATTAAATGAGTTTAATGACGTTTGAAGTACCAACTCAACTGCATCCATTCACGCCAAGTCATTTCTTCCATATTTTTAAGTTGAATCATTTGCTTGAACAGGTACATGTACTTACTAGTGTTTTGGAGTAGAATTCAGAGTAGAATTGAACCTAAGTTGTGAGTTGTTTGCAAAAATTGAGTGAAGAAATATTAAATGCATGACCTTATGAATTCAAAACAGAAAAGAAAATCTGGAATGAAAAAGAAAAATGAAGAGGTCGAACAATTACAAAAGAAAAACAAGAGGACAATTCACACTACATGTTACACTCCTAGATGCACATGCTTACTTTTCTAGTTGTCTTATGACTTGAATTATATTGTGAAGCATCTTTGAATGTAATTTTGTTTCTAATTCTACTTGAAAACAGCAGCTGTATGTGTTCTTGATTCAACTTGCATTTTTTTGGTTTTGTTTTAGTACTCATAATATAGATATTCATTAGGTTCCTTTTGAATGCCTTCACTCAAAATTTACCTTTTTTTTTTTGCATGTCTTTTCTTGTGAGTTCCTTTGAGTTTTGACATCTATATTCTTTCATTTTAAAGTTGTCCAGTTTCTGTTAGGAATTCTTGAGATCAAGAATTCAAATTATAAGATTAATATGCGGTAACACTCAAATTAAACATCCAACAATTACATAGACAGTTTTACTGGATTATAAGTCTAAAAACATTCAACAGCGTCAAAGGGAAGAGTTTCCCTTCCCACAGGTTAGCACCTGTTCTGAAACAACAATAAAACCACACACCGGTAGGAGGAACCGTTTCCCCTTTAAAAGACAACCATACTAAACGAAATCACTCCCTCTAACCACCCATAAACCGTCCAACCCCTGACAACCGTTCTATAACTTCTAATTTTTAACTTTTTTCCTAACATACACTTTAAAAGTCTTATCAGTTTCAAACTAGCTTTTCTTGACTTTTTCTTCTTACTCAAAGTGGAAAAGATATTGATTAATGCTTCACTTGTTTCTTGCAACCCACCTCTCTTCTAAGTTAGTATTTTAGGTGTTGAAGTGAGAATTGTTGAAGCTATACTCTTGTGGTGACTTTAAGGAACAAAAAAGACAATATAGTTAGTTTGTGCACTTCTAGGTTTGTAGGACATGCATGTGAGTGGTGGAGCCAAAGGCAATATAGTGTTGAAAGTGGAAGAAAATCTCCAATTAAAGATTGGTGTGAACAGAGGGCATGCATGAGAAGAAAAGAGAGGGGAAGCCAAGAGAGAACAAAAGAAGAAGAAAGGAATACCAAAGATAGTGGCCCAAAAATTGGGCGGGTGTTTGAAGATGGGCCCAAAGATCCAAACTGATTATTACAAAGGTGCAGATGGAGTAGCAAGTGCGGTGGATGCTTCCCAATAGTAAATGCACGAGGAAGCTGTATAATATAGGAGAATTTTGTATACGTGTTTTATTCCTCAAGACAGTTAAATGTATTTGATAAGAACAACGTTTTGTAAAACTCTTTAGAATTGATGAACTATGAATGAAATGGTTTAAATGTATGCTAAATTTCTTATGCCGTGCGTAAAATATAATTGGTGAGATGATGCACCCAGTTTCGCTCCATTCGATTCGTCTGATGGCCTTGGCACCAATAGACGATTGTATTGTTCAGGCCTCATCAGATGACCTTTTGGATGTGTTAACCGGGGTTATGTGACACTGGTTTTGAGGTGTTACAATTAGCTTCACTCAAACAGAAAACCCTAGCCACCAACACAAACTCATTAGAACCCCTAAGCCACCACAACCAACTAAATGACAAACAAGCGACTTATCGGTGCTGGAAAACAAAAACAAAATCCTGATTAGCAACAAATCGGTCGCAATGTAATAGCTAAAGCTTACATCTCCATTATCAACATCTAGGATACAAAAACTGATAACAACATTTCATTCTTCAATCGTAATTATAGTTTGCCTTTAAACCTATACTTTTTTTTCTGTCCTCTAAAATATGTATCTCAGTCCACCACAACTAAGTCAAAAATTAATTGTGCTTATGGTAATCTGAAGGATGCAAAATTCCAACGAAATTACTTCAAATAGATCATTGCTACAACATGTAACTACAACAGCCTACGCAAATCCATCATATTCCTCAAACCTACACTAACCTTGAATTTAAACATTTAATAGACAAATTATCCAGATAAAACGTTAATTCTAACTGCAAAATAAAAATGTTGTCCTAAATAAAAATCAGGCGACAATCACAATATACTCTAAACAAACACCAGGAAGTGAATAAGAACAAACCATGAATTTAAATCGCAGACAAGTTCCAATTTCGTTGTAACCTTGCTACTGTAAGGAATTGCGGACACTGCAGCCACATTGACGCTGCATCCAAAATTACGGACAATTTTTAAGTACCCGTAGCAAATCATGAAAAAAGTATAGATTAATACACGAAATTAAACTCCATAGATTTGAATAGTTTACACAAGTTCCTGATTTCTAACCATTGTAAAAAGAAATACAAGAAATTGAAAGACTGAAAGTGAAGATAGAACCGTTGAATGTAGGATTCAGGAGGAAATGTCTTTGGCGTTGTTGAACAAAGCTGCGGCGCAGAGAATGGAGGCGATGAAGGCGATGAAGGCCAAGCCGATGAACAAGGAAAGGCCCGCAACGAAGAAGTCCAATAGGCTCAATCCCACCATCATCAGAATAGCCATGTTGCCGTTGAGATCAGAATAAGATCGACATAACCATGAGAGGGATTAGAAAAGAGAGGAGAGAACGTGGATGGATGTGTCTAAACGGTGACAGAATTGAAACGCAAAAAACAGACATCACAGTTCATCAATTGCGTTCTTTTGGTCTAACCTCATCTGAAGAATGGAATTCACCTGTGAAAATCTATTATAAAATAAATAAATAAATAAATATTTATCTTTTATCTGTATATTTATTTTGTTGATAAATGTTTTAAAGGTTAGTTCTTTTAGTTATTTGACAGTAGTAATTCTTTTTCACATGTTTTTACATAGTTATTTTTTTTTGTCATTTGTTTAAATTTTCATATTTTTTGAGTTGTTGAAATTAGTTTTATCTTTTATAAAAATAGTTTAATTTATTATTATTTTATGATGACGACGTAATATATTCCACACATTAAATGTTAAAACTTTTCTTTCACTTTTTATAATTTTTTATTTTATTTTATTTTTAATAGATTATCATCATCTTGTTGCTAAACACATTGTAAGTCGTTACTTACACTTAAACCACTATTAGAAACTCCAAACAAACCAAATCATCACTAAAAAAATCACAGATCATAACTATCATTCTCCAAACCAAAAAAAAAGTTTAGAATCTCAAATCAAAACCTTAGTTCCAAATCACCCAAAATCAAAATCTATAGAGAAAAATTAAGAATAGAAACCCCAACTAAAAAAAACTTAAATCAAAACTCTAATCTCAAACTGTGAAATCTAAACCTATTGAAAAGAATAATGAACAAAACTCTAAATAACAGACCCCAAAAATTTTGCACAATTTACAAGGCAACTACTTCCTCCCAACTGCTTGGAAGTCACCCAACGCTAGTGGCCAAGAAGAAGCACGTAACACAGGCACTAGGTGCAGCAATCTAGCTGAAAGAAAAAAAAGAAAAAAAAGAAAAAAAAAATAGAAACCAGCGTCTAACACATGCATAACAGGACCGAGTGGTTCCCAGTATAATTGACAGCCAATTATATGCCACAACAACACTCACATTTCATCCAAACAGTTAGCTAGAACCTGTCCATTCTGAACCTTTGATTGGTGTTAAATGGACAATCACTACTGCAGAGTTCATATCTTAAAAATGCTATCCTGGTGGACCAATCTTGGCTACTTTTGGGATCTTAAACTAGGCAATAAACACTGGAAACAGCCACTGGAAGCTAATCTAATTGGTCCATAAAATGCTTCTCGGGCCATCCCTAATACTGAAACCACCGGATTATAAAGCTCAAATCATTTGGCCACTAAAAATCTCTAAAATGGGTGATTTAATAATGCAGACCAGCCACTGAACTGCTTCCTACTTTGGAAAAACAAAAAGGAAAACCCACTAGACCAGTCCATATGCGCTAACACAAATTCGTTAGACAAAATTCCCCATGCACACAGATTCTGCGCCAACCACATGCCCTTCCATTAAGTCACAACATTTAGAAAACATACTCTCTTATATAGACTGAACTGCTGCAGTAAAATCCCAATTAGACAGCCCTTCGACCAACACATTTCATTTAAAAAGGAACACCAAACAGCAGGCCAACAAGTCTTACAATTAAATCCCCGAATCTTATAAAATACATTGTCTGACAACATAATCAAATTCGTATTCTAGAAGAGCAAATTACCTGTCTGCACTTGCGGTCCTGCAGTCAATGTCACAATGATGGAAAAATATAAGCACCAATACTAACACACTCAGAATTTCCCGTCAAACCACTTCTGGTCTGACCTAACAGCAACCACAAAACAGCAAAAATTCCATTAAGAACCATAGATAAATTTAGAATCACTACAGCCACATATATTCATCCACACACAAGTCAGCTCCCCTTACGTTTTGATTGATGCTTACATATACAACTAGTCTCTTATGAATTCATTTACACATACAAGATGAAATTTCATTCTTTTTTCCTAGTAGAGAATTAATAAAGTAGTATATCTAAGAAATAAGAGGTCATAGTTATTTCAGAAATACACATAAATGCACATTCACATAATGGTATATCCGCACAATATCCATATATAGTTATTTTACAACAGGTACACTTTAACAATCCAAGCATTTGAATGCAAGAACATATAAATACCCATTAATCAAACAAACACAGGAAGCTTCTCCCTACACCTCCATCCATTTCTTCCTACACCTCCATCCATTTCTTCCTACACCTCCAAATTTTTTTAAAATCCCAACATTATAGGTTCAAGGAAAAAATCCAACAAGTTATCATATTTGAATCAGTACTCAAAATTACTAAAGATGCATAGTTCACCCCAACATTGACTTTTGAAGTTAAGGTATGTACATCTAATGAATTTTCACTATTAACAACCCAACCGTAGAGCTAGAGGTGTCGAGTTCATTTATTCCACTGCTCGAGTTCATCCTGTAATGTTGTCGAGCTCATCCTGTTGAGTTGCCGAGCTCATCCTCTATAGTGTTGAGCTCATTCTCTATAGTTGTCGAGCTTATCCTATCGAGCTGTCGAGGTCGGCCTGGTATGCTACCGAGCTCAGGTTTACAGGCTTTATGCAAAACTTAAGCCCAACATTGCATATGCAGTTCTAAACGCGATAGCCACTCTACTTACATCCACTCAGGTTTGACTAAAACTACTTTTATTATTGTTTTACTGATCAAGATTCCATTACACCAAACATAGACGATAAAACACAAACTATTTAGTGAAATGCATGACAAAAAATTGAACATATACCATGTCGAGGTCGACCTAAACTTACACCAAGCACTATTATAGCTATGGATATTTCTGTCGATAAATCAAACAAAAATATTTGTTCATAATTCCTTCAATAATTACCATTTAGCAACAAATCTTATTCCGTTGATAAAAGTTCGTCGACAATTTGCTTTGATTAGTAAATGTTGAAATAAGATCCTCCAAGCTATATGATTCAAGCCAAGGGAGACTCCTAAATGGGTGATGGTTTCTGGAACGAAAACAGTAGAGAAAAATACACAAAGAGAATAGGTATATCTTATTAAAAAAATTGAATATTGTATTTGTACAGGTGTGGTTTTATAAGAAACAAAGTAATATATGTAGTGTTGTCTGTGTGACAGTTGTCTTGTCTTAAGGTTAACTAACATTTTCCCCTAAGACAAGCATCGAGTGATATAACACCAATCTTCTTTAGAAAATCAAAACGATCAGCCTTCAAAGCCTTGGTAAAGATGTCTGCCAATTGCTCCTCAGTTCTGCAGTAAGACAAACCTATTCTTCCTTTGCTTACCAAATCTCTCAAGAAGTGGAATTTCACTTCAATGTGTTTACTTCTACCATGACTCACCGAATTCTTAGATAGATTTATGGCAGAGACGTTGTCTATCCTTAACTGCAACAGGGTCTTCACAGGCATCATCATCTCCTTCATCAATTCTTCTAACCACACTCCTTGGCAGGCAGCAAAGCACCCAACAATGTATTCGGCTTCACAACTAAATAAAGCAACTACAAGTTGCTTTTTAGAACACCACGAAATAGGGGCTTTGTTCAGCAGAAAAATATATCCAAACGTGCTCTTTCTCTCCACAGGATCACCACCATGATCAAAATCGGTGTAGCCAACCAATTCTAATCCAAAGTTTTGTCTCCCAATTGGAAATAGTAACCCATGATCGGAGGTACCTTGAACATACCTCAACACTCGTTTGACAGCATTCATGTGAGTTTTCTTCGGTTCACTCATGAACCCGCTTATTAGACCAACACAAAATGAGAGATATGGTCTGCTGTTACAAAGAAACCTCAATGATCCAATTATTTGTTTAAATATTGTCTCGTCTACCCCTTCCTCTGATTCATCTTTCACCAACTTCTGGTTGACTTCCATCGGGCTTATTGTGGCATTGCACAATGACATATTAAATCTTTTCAACAAATCTCTAGTATACTTCTTTTGATGCATTACCAATCCTGCATCAATATAAGCAAATTCCATTCCTAGGAAGTAGCTTATCTTACCCAAGTATGTCATCTTGAATTCTATCTGCATCACTTTCTTGAATTCTTCTATGTTAGTTGGGTTGGATCCTGTGATGAGCAAATCATCCACGTATAAATAGATGATCAGCAAATCCTCTTCTGCGCTTCTCTTCACATAGACTTTATGTTCAGCAATGCATCTGGTGAAGTTTAGTTCAAGCAAGAAGGAATCAATACGCTTATTTCAGGCTCTAGGAGCTTGTCTCAGCCCGTATAAAGCCTTCCGCAGCTTGTAAACTTGGTGCTCTTTGCCTTCTTCAACAAATCCAGGAGGTTGTTGTACGTATACCTCCTCTTCCAATGGTCCATGGAGGAACGCTGACTTCACATCAAGCTGGTACAACGGCCAACTTCTTGAACATGCAACAGCAATCACCAGCCGAATAGTCTCCATACATGCTACTGGTGCAAACACCTCAGAAAAATCAAAGCCTTGCCGTTGAAGGAACCCCTTTGCAACCAACCTAGCTTTATACTTGGAGATTGATCCATCAGGCTTCAACTTTTGCTCAAACACCACTTTACTCCAATACTTTTCTTCCCTTCTGGCAGATCAACAAGCTGCCAAGTTTCGTTCCTTTCGATTGCATTAATCTCCTCCCTCATTGCATTTCTCCATACAGGTTCCTTTAATGCTTCAACATCATCTATTGGTTCCGCTCCAGCATACAATGCCAAATGAACCAAGTCTCCTTCATCATCAATCTGTGTATCAGGATATACTTCGCATTCACTAAACCTCTCTGGCAACACACGTTGTCTTCTTGATCTACCAGTTTCACCATTCTG